AGATAAATTTTAAAAGGCAAGCAATAGTATTGGAAAATATTTTTAAACAAATATCCATACATGGTGATAATTATGAATTAAACCAACAAAATATGCATAGCCTTCTCAGTACCCAAGTAAATGAAAAAGAAATCAACCAGATAGAATTTTTCACTTATAAAGTAATCAAAATCTGACAGGTTCAAATCAAAGGAGATCCTAGGGAAATAATTTTCAAACAAAGATAAACTAGTAAAACCTCTGTGTAGAGCCAATTAAGCAGAACTGATTAAAATGTAATATATTGGCCAAGGTACTGATCCCTAGAGAAATTCTCACACGTTCTACTCAGACATGCACTGGAACGTTAATACTGTAAATCCTGAGAAGTCTGGTATCAGGGAAATGAACAAAGAAAATGTTTTACATTCACGAATGAACATCCTACATTTTACAGAAATAAGCTACATCTGCATGCATTAAACTAGATAGAATCCCCAAATCATAAGGAGCAGAAAGGTTTATGAGAATCAAACCAGTTGCATCATTTTTTGGCACAAAGGTACCCTACCGCCCATCCTTGCCCTGGCCTTACTCTCTTCAACTGCACTTCCAATACAGCAGCAGCTAACTAGTCACATGTGCTTAGGAAGCATCTGAATGTGGCTGGTTTGAATCAAGGTGTGTGGTAACACAGCAGACATACTGGGTTTTGAAGACTTGGTATGAAAAGAAACGTAAAACATCTCATTAGTAATTATTTATATTGAAACATGTTGAAATGATGTTTAAATCTACTGGGTTAATGAAATAATTTTGCCTGCTTCTTTTTACTTTTCACACATGGCTCGTACAGTGTTTAAAATCACACTCGTTTTCGATGGACGACCAACCATGTTAGAAGAACAGCAGTTCCAGATGTCTCTCTAATAGAAAGCAACAATGTCAGCCTAGAGACTAAAGTATGCCTAATCCAGGCTATGGTCTCCATAATGACCTGATACGCATCAGAGAGCTAGACAATGACTAAAGATGATAGAAGAATTGATGCCTTCAAGTTGTGGTGCTGGAGTAGAGTCTTGAACATACATACTATGGACCGCCAAGAAAACAAACAGGTCTGTCTTGGAGAGGGGGAGACTGAGTTACTAGTCTAGAGATTAGATCCAGGCCATGCATAGCTATTTCTTGCTATGCATTTGAGAGCTGGACAATGACTATGGGTGGCAGAAGAAGTATGAATGCCTGAGTTCTGGTGCTGGAGAAGAGTACTGAACTGCCACAATCTTTAGGCGCTTTCAGGTGCCATGGTAATGATCTTCTAGAGAGCAGTCATCGTATAGGGCATGTTCTGTGATGACCAAACATCTCACCTGGAGATGACCTCTCTGAAGCCACGTGCACATGTTTCTGAAATATGCTCAATGAGGTATATGCTCATTCATCTGAATTATCTGCTCATGTGTCCAAGACTCAGTACTGGTGGCAATGAGAGTAAAAGAACAACTGTGCATGTGTTTAGTATCCTGATTCCTCCCACATGGGCCCAGATGATCCCTTCCAAAGGAGAACTCAAATTTAAGGAGTGAACTGGAGATATTTTCTTAGTGGCCACATTTGAGAGCAGTCAGGCTATATACTTGTCAACAACCTGCCTGATATAGATGACAAAACCTTGCTTGCAGAAAATGAAGAGGATCTGAAATACTTGCTGCAGAGATCAAAGACTTCAATATGGATTACATCTCAACATCAAGAAAACAAAAATCTTCATTACTTGACTAGTAGCTAACATCATGATAGATGGAGAAAAGACTGACGTTGTCAACAATTTACTTGGACCCACAAACAATATAAAAAGCAGCAAGAGTCAAGAAATAAAAAAAACATGATACAACAGGAAAATATGCTGTTAAGGACCACTTCAAAGTGGAAAAGAGCACTGATGTAAGTTTAAAGACTAAGGTGTGCCTGATACAAGTCATGGATTGCTTCCTATGCATCTGAAAGTTGGACAGTGAATAAGGATGACTCAAAGAGGAAGCCTTTGATTTGCAGTGTTGAAGAGGACTGAATATCCTGTGTAAAAGAACACATGCGTCTTGGAAGAAGTGCAACCATAGTCTTTAAAGCCAAGAATGGTGAAAGTTAATCACACACTTTAGGCCTGTTGTCAGGAGGGGCCAATCCTTGGAAGATGACATCATGTTGGGAAAGGCAAAGGGTTAGAGAGAAAGAGAGGAAGATCCTTAAAATGAACAGGCAGTGATTGTAATAATGGGTTAAAGCATATCGCAGATTATGAGGATTGCGAAGGCCAGGTTCAGATCTTGTTCACAGAGTCACTAAGAGTTGTAGTCAATTTGATGGCACCTAACAGTAGCAACGATAAAGAGCTCTTGTCTGAGAATGAGGACTCCTTCAATTTTCCTTATAGACTTAAATGAGAAAAGGGTGCAAGATGGGCATTTTCCTCCAGTGGGATTTAAAGCCTGTGAACACCCACTGGTGAATCATCTGTGAATCAGTTCTGACTAGATGTCAATGAATAAGAGTTTGCAGTCTCCCTTTTAAAATATGCAATTCTCTAGATTAATGCTCTTGACTCCATAGCTCAATTCTAGGCTTAATAAAAACGGAGCTCTCATGCGCTGCTGACTGAAAGGAGACACCCTCTAGTTGTTCAAATTCTCCAGTGAAATTCAAGGGAGAAAGATAGATGAGCTCGTCTCTTATGATTTACAGCCTCCAAAAAACCTGCTGAAGGGTCAGCTGGGAAGGTTCTAAGGCCAATGAGTCTAAATATTTATAATTACCATCTGATCCAGTAATTCCATTCAACCTCAAATGCATTGCAGTCAAGTTGGAACCAACTAATAGCTGACCCTTCTTTGGGTTTCTGAAGCTGTAAATCACACAGGAGCAGATGGCCCATATTTCTTCCTGAGCCAGGCGGATGAGACATGCCAGGGGTATGGCTTCTGGGTTAGCAATAATTCCCTATGGATGATGCCACCAGAATTCTCTTTTTAAAATATACATTCCAATTAAAGACAAATATTAAAAAAACAAATGTACACTAATTTAGAACAATTATACAGAACATGATTCACAAGAGACCAAAGGTGGAAACAATCTAAGAATCCATCAACAAATGAGCAGATAAATATTTGTCTAAATATTATTCAGCCAAATAAAGGACTTAAGTACTGACCTATGACACAGATGAACTTTGAAAACATTATTCTTAAAAAAACCAAAAAAACATGCTAAGTGCAAGAAGTCAGACACAAAAGGTCACATATTATATCAAAGAAATGTCCAGAATAGGAAGATTCAGAACAACAGAAAGCCCTTAGTGGTTGCCAGGGCCTATGGAGGGAGGTATGAGACGCAAGGTAGAGTCCTTGTGTGTATGTGACCGAGTATCTGAAAGTTTACAAAGCAAACTGGCTTTTTATAACTATTTGTTCCATAGCATTAATGGCAGTGCCTGCAATGTACTTGCACTTCTCTGACATCATCTCTGTAACTCTCTTTTCCACTAATACTAGCTCATCTTGCCTGTCTGCTACATACCTGCTATTGACTCTATTTCCTGTCTACCTCCCTGTCTTCTTTTCTTTAAAAGAATTGTGCTGATTTCCCCCTTATTTTATATTACCTTTCTATTCACTAGATAGAGGTGATAGGTGCATGACAATGTGCATAAACTGTTATTAAATCGTATACATTAAAATGATTAATTTTATGTTACATTTATCTTACTTCAAGTAAAAAAAAAAGGGAAAAAAGATCTGGAGGGAGAGCCCAAGCTGTGCACTCCCCAATCCTGAAGTCACCAAGGAGCTATAAAGTACTGCTCTTGCTTTGGTGAGCTCAGTTTATCTTGATTTATTATAACAAAAAACCAATAAATTTCTTGAAAATTTTAGACAAAGTATAAAGTAATTAGATTTTAAAAAAAGAATTAAGAAGGCAAATGACAATATACAGCTAATAAAAGAGCTGAAAGGCATTGGGCTGGACATTTTCTGTCAGAAGACTTTTAGTACTCTATGATCCTAGCATCTAATCTGGTCTGGTTTATTATTATTACTAGTCCCATAACTTCACAACAGAGCCCTGCACACCAGTGGGTGTGACATCAAAGCTGGGAAATGGCCTAGAGGACAGTGAAAACAATGACTCTAAAGCACTCTCTGAATGATCAAAGGGTGTTTTCCTCAGGTCTCACCCCATCAGGTGCCCAAGAGATGCTGAGTTCATCTCATTTGGACACTAAAAACCCTGTCCTTCCTGAACTTTCGGTGGAGGATGAGCTTACTGGGAAGTGATGCTCGGGCTGAGCGAGAGAGGTCAGTACAGAGTGTGGCTTCTCTGGTCATAACTTGGAGCTTCTCAAGGACCTGTCTCCGGCCCATGTCCTACCTTTTTATCACCCACCTATGAAGCTAGGCACTCTATGTATTTCTAGTAAATAAGGTAACTTCCCAGGAGAATTTTTTGAAACAGACATGGTAAAGGTAGATACGTAAAAGGAAAAGTAGGCATTATCTACCCATCTTACCCCACAACACTCCACAGAGGTCCCCAGTGAAATCTCTGATGCTGGTACAGATAAGTGCCTGAGGGTGTTAACTGCAATGCTGACTTCCTCTGTGCTAAGCGCTGTATTGGATCTTTTACATACATTACCACATTCAATCCTTAACAATGTTCTCATGATGTTAAGAAAGTGGTGATGAACCATATTTTACAGATGAGGAAAACCAAGGCTCAGAGAAACGTGACCGAGGTCCCCAAAACTGGAATTCAAACCCAGTGAGCCAAACCTCATAATTTCCCTGTAAGAAATACTTTCTGGAAAAAGATTTGGTTAGGCAGGCAGATGAATGGGAAAAGGCAAAGAACTGACTCAAGAAGAAGACCTAAGAGGCTGTCCCCCTCCGGACACTCCAGTGCAGACTGGAAGCTGGCAAACCTGTTCCTGTCCCCTGGGCTATCCGTATGGCACTCACCTTCTTCAGAGAGGTTGTTCTCTTTGGTCTCCTTGTCCATCTGGCAGCACCAGCCTTCTAGCCGCTCTGTTTCGGCCTGAAGTAACTTTAAGAACCAGAAGCCATCTCGGCGGCAAGCCCCTGGCTGTGCTGGCTCCGCTGGGGAGCTGGAGGTTGTCTCAAGCCAGGGGTCAGGTGGGGGCAGCGAGGACGCTTCTAGGGCAGGGTCGCTGTTGTCTCCATAGGAGAGGTTGCGCTTGATCTGGGCAATCTTAGGGGCCTGCCGGGGGCCAGCATCGATGCTGATGGAGTTGGGGTGTGCGGTACAGTCCGGGAGGCTCCTCTCAGATGACTTACAGCTTGAATCATTGGCATCCTGGGTATCTGAGTCGGTGTCCCGTCGGGAGGACATGCTGTGGGAAGGGGCACTGCTTCTGTGGGTCAGAGATGGAGGAGGGTGGGGATGTAAGAGGAGAGTCAACAAGAGAGCCAGCGACCAGAGGCCACCCCAACCCGGACACACAGGAGACAGAGAAACGGATGCATCATCTGCTCACCATGCGCCTGAAGCGGGCCCCACAGCCCCCGTCTCATTCTCGGCTCAGCCCCGGCCCCAACCCACCCACGCCCACACGCACACACACACAAGGACAAGGTCATAAGGTTGTCTGTTTACTGCAGTGGGGCCAGGAAGACCGCTAACACCAGGGTAGCTAGGGCCACATCTCAGCCCACCACGGCCCCCTCCATGGTTGATGAATCTCACAGAGCAAGTGCTCATGGCCCACCCGCCGCCTCCCATGACCGGGCCGCCGCCCGCATCCCAAACCCAGCTTGGTTATTAGAAATCCAGCAAGGAGAAGTGGGTTAGGGAGAGCAGGAGGAGAAGGCTCGGGAGAGGTGAGAGCAGGAGGAGGAGAGGAGGGGGAAGCAGCCACCGCCTCTGCCCGACTTACCGCCAGTCGTCCTCTACCTGAACCCCGATGGACTGGAATTTGGTAGCGGGACTGGGCTCCTCTTTTGGCACTGGCTGAATGCAGTCAACCTTATTGAAGGACAATGACAGCAACGGCACGGAGACAAAGACAAAAATAAAAAACAAACACCACACTTGCTGCTGAAATTCACATTAGTGGGACGACGCAAATGGACGTGTGGACAGACAGACATGGTGCATGCGGACACTGCACGCGGGCCCGAGGCTGGACCAGGTGAAGCCGGGCACTGCTCATTCGTGCGGAGGCGGGCCAGTGGGCGGGAGTGGGGTGGGGTGGAGATGACTGGCTTTCCCTACTCTGAGGAGGGTGCCATCACATCGATCCCTTTGAGTCCGTTGTCGTCCGAGAGATGAGAACCGTTCCTTCTAGTCCTCTCCTTTACACGCATCAGAGAGAAGAGATAAAAGGACGACGACGAAAGAGAAAGAAAACACACACACATACAAAGCCACAGCCGTTATCTGGTGTAGTTGAAGCTACGGGCCGTCTTGAGGCAAAGATCACTTTCCCAACCCTGTGCGTGAAGCTTGGAAAGGCAGCTGGAGGTGCTGCGCTAAAGGCAAGCCTTGGACAGCAGCTCTAGATTTGAAAATGACCACCAAGGCAACAGCTGGCCAAGCCCCTGGACACTCTGGGATGTCCCTGAACATCCAGTACATTTGACTGAGGCCATTTAAAGCTCTGCGGAGCAGCAGGAAGGCCAGGGAAGACTCCAAAGCTAGCACTTTTATCTGCATTTCTGGGAAATGGGAAGATGTGGTTGGTGACAGTGATGCCTCCGTCCTACTTTTCCTGGGCCAAAGAAGCCTGGGCACGAGAAAGCCAAGGGGCCCCTTCTGTCCTCTCTCATGAATGAGGGATGACCCACATCCCAGCCAGGCACTGGGGTGAGTACTGTCAGGGTGAGGTATGACCCACATCCCAGCCAGGCACTGGGGTGAGTACTGTCAGGGTGAAGACCCTTGTCTGTGCTTGCTGTACAGAAGGAGGGCAGGAAAGTGCTGGGGTGATGGGGCTAAGCCGCAGGCTGCTCCTTGTACAGGGGAGCAGTGGCTATCCTTCTCTGGGAACATTAATCACTACTTTTAATGCGATGCAGTGCAAGCCTGGGACTGTATGGAAAGGGAAGCCCAGGATAAGCCTGAGAGCTAACGGCCCTTATTCTGCTGTGATTTTTTGTGTAAAAATGTATCAACCAAGAGTGAGCCTCTGTTCTTTCTAGGGTTACCTTGGAAGTTAAGGGTATCTAATGTGTTCAAGGAGAGGGTGAGGTTGTCCTAAACAAAGTCTTTGGGCTTTAAGACTCAGAGCTGGAGACTGGCTATTCTGTTTTCCTAAGAATCCCACCAGGAAAGCTATAGAAGCTAAGGACTGGATTTCCACAGATGAAGTACGATAAACTCAGGAAATGTGGCCTTTGGGGCCAAATTTCCTCTTTTATATATGGTGAAATGGAACCCAAAGGTACGTCTTAGAAAATATCCAGGCAAGAAATTGGCTAGTGAGCCTTCTCTAAAATCATGCCTTCCCATTGTTTCTCCAGAACCTTCTGCGTGTCCATGAGCCTCTGCTTGCATTCTATAGCTTTGTCATCAAGCTAGCCATGTCTAATGGCTTGGCAGTAGCTGAGACATGGACATCCTTGCCAGCCCTGAGCTGCAGTGCGTACCACTTTGTGCTCCTTGATGGCTCCTCCACCATTAGATTCTGTCTCCCCAAATGTCTGGCCTGTGGCAGTGGCCCCTTCTCCCCAGCCCTGAATGCACTTCTATCTAGGGTGTCCTGGGGCAGGCTCCCGTCTAGAGGAGGGAGACATCTCTCACTAGGAACTTAGAACACCTGAAGGATCAGACTGGAGCCCAAGTTCCCCACCTCACCTAATGGATTACTCACGTATGAACATGCAGGAAGGGCAGTGAAGCAGTGGAGAGGCTGGCATGCCCACCCTGCTGTCTGCCATGACAATAGGTGTGTTGTGAGTCTTGGCTTCTAGGAAGGTCTGCTAGTTCTGGTCATGTGGTCCTGGGGACTATCTGCCTGGAACCATTTCCGTGGAGGGAGGCACTGGGACCAGCTTCACACCTCTCAATTTGACACAGGCCTCCTCGAGCCACCTACCTGTCCCCAAGGCCCGAGAAGGCTCTGGGCAAAGTTCCCCTTGGCCAACCCCCATGGCTCAAGGGACCTGGGTCCTAGGCCTTTGGCCCATTGGCGTCTATGCTCCACGTTGCTCCCGCCACCAAGCGGGGCTGTGGTCTCCGCACCCGAGCTGACCTTGGATTAGAGAACTGTTAGGCCAGTCCTGCCTCTTATGGGCTGGCTGGCAGGACAAAGAGTGGACGGACAGACAGTGGACAGGTAAAGAGGGGAGAGGAGATAGCCGTCTGAGTGTAACTACATTCACTGGGGCAATCCATTGGGAGCACCAGGACAAGTGCCGTGGCCGCAGACTGTGGCACGCATGGGTGACCACGAGGAAGGCATGGCCACAGGTGAAATTAGCTCAGCCACTTGGGGCTGACCTCCCCCAATCAGACAAACCACCTTTTCCCAGGAGACCTAGAGGGCCCTTGCCAGATGTAATTACACGCAGGCAGGTCCATGGAGCACAGTGAGGACACAGAATGCAAAATGGAGCTCCTACTTGTATTCCTATCGATGACAGTTTCCTTTTGGGGATAGCCTCAGGGTGGGACTCAGAGCTGGTCAGTGTCCCTTGGTCACTCTTCAGAGATGCATGTTTTGGGGGTGGCTCAGGGGCCTCAGAGCCTGGGGCAACTCCACCCCGTGTCACGCTGGGTGGCCATGTACTGCTGTCCAGGCTGTCTGACGAGTTGCTCAGGCCTGACTGGCTCGTCACCTCACTCTTGTGGTCCTGGCTGTCCAGATAGGTGTCCTGGGCAGACTCGGTACTGCTTTGAACTGTGACTGAGATGAACGGCTTTGACGTGGTGCGTGGAGGGACTGGGGGTGGGGTCTTCTTATATGCCACTAAGCATGATGTACCTGCAGAAGGGTGAGAACACAGAAAGGGAGAAGGTGAGGCCCCACCTCCCTCAAGTTTCTTCCAAGTTTGAGGTCCTGCATGATCTGGCCCTAGTTCTGACCTCAGCATTCTCTCAGGATATTTTGGTGCAAGAGAATACAGGCCAGACATAGCAATGACCAAGACAGACACAGATCCTGTCCTACCTCGTCCAGGCCAAGTCTAGTGGAGGATCAACATTAACCAGAGTCTCTCCATCTCCTAGTCATACCCAGAGGTATTATCAGGGTGGGACATGGGTTAGACATTTGGTGCATGGTGCCACAGGCGAGACTCAACCTGGCCTGAAGGCTGAAGGAAGCATTCCCCTGGAGGCTAGTGACGGTGGAGTGGAGGTCAAAAGCAGGGCTAATGATTAAGGTCACCTCTGCTTTAAGTTCCTTGAGAGACTGACTGTTCCCTTCCTCCTCTTGTCCCTGCTTGGATTTCCCCTTTCTTTTTTGCTCAAGGGTCATTACTTCCTTCAGGACCAACCATCCCTTCTTTGACAATTCTGCCTTGCCTGTTCCCTTTACCAGTCTGCCTTCTCCAAGATTCCACCAGACCTGGTCCAGCTCCCTTCTCCATCAAGGGCCTGCCACAGGTGTGAGCTGATAGTCATCTCTGTATCCCACTCTTAGTTTGGCCCAGATTAGGGACATAGAACACTGAAGGCCTACTGCTTGCTTCTCAGATACTGAGAACTTTTTGTTCAAAACAAAATGGAGTTTTCAAATAGCAGCAGTTACTTATAGTGAGGGAATGGGTCAGACTCAATGACTTTTCTCCTCACTTTAACGGGTCACTTTATCTCACTGAGGGCTTAATCAAGCCCCTAATCAAGGTGTGGTCCTGCTTGAGGATCTGGAGTCAGAAAAGTTAAAGCTTTGTCTCTAAAAGAACTTCCAATTGGAGATGGTGACAGAAATGGTCCAATGAAACTCACAAGAAGAAACCAAGTGTCAAAGGGCTGTGGGTATGGGACAAAAAAAGATCCAGTAAGAATATGCACTATCATTGCATTCACCTATCAAAATGGCTACAATTTAAAACAGTAATAAGGCGAGCTCTGGTGACCTAGTGGCAGGAAGCCACACTGCAATCCCAGAGGTGAGCAGTTCAAATCCACCAGATGCTCTGCTGGAGAAGGAGGGACAATCTCCTCCTGTACCAGTTAGATCCAATTTGATGGTACACATACACACACACACACTGAATGCTGGTGAGGGTGGAGAAACTAGATCATTCATACAATGCTAGTGGGAACATAAACTGTTACACTCACTATGGAAATGGTTCAGCAAGTTTATTATAAAATTTAAACAATTTCATTTTGGGGAATTTATCCCATAGAACTGATAAAGTATTGGTTTGGAGATGTAAAGTCATGGCTTCATGAGACATCTTAGTTAATGGGCCTATCTCCTAGTTCTCTGTGGAGTGTTAGGGGGGGTTTAAAGGCTTACAAGTAGCCGTCCACCATCCAAGGCCTGGTCTCTCTTTACTTGGAACAACAAAGGAGGAGACTTGGGGACTGGGGGAAGATATGGAATGTGTAGCTGTCTACTCAACTGTTTGCTCTGACGTGAGACCAGAAGGCTTGGATGGTGCTTGGCTACCTTTACTGAACATTCTGATTAAAGATTCTATAGATGAATCCTGATCAATAAGAAGAAGTGGAGGACAGAATTTAAAATTTACACATTGTCAATGACTCTCATGTTCTGGAGTAACAGAGGGTAGATGACACCGCAGAACCACTGCCTTGACACAAAATTTTTTAAAATTTTTATTTATTTATTTTATTATTTTGCGTGCGTGTACCATCAAATCAGATCTGACTCATACAGGAGGAGATTATCCTTCCTTTTCCAGCAGAGCATCTGGTGGCTTTGAACTGTGTGCCTCTGGGACTGCAGTGCAGCTTCTTGCCACTAGGCCACCAGAGCTCCCTGACACAATTTTTTTTTAATTTTTATTATTTTTTGTGCATGTACCATCAAATCAGATCTGACTGGTACAGGAGGAAATTGTCCCTCCTTCTCCGGCAAAGCATCTGGTGGATTCGAACCGTATACCTTTGGGATTGCAGTACAGCTTCTTGCCACTAGGCCACCAGAGCTCCCTGACACAAAAATTTTTTAAAAAATTTTATGTTAATTTTTGTGTGTGTGTGTACCATCAAATTGGATGACTGGTACAGGAGGAGATTGCCCCTCCTTCTCCAGTGGAGCATCTGGTGGATTTGAACCGTGAACTTCAGGGAATACAGGCCTTGACACAATTTTTAAACTTTCAATCAAAAATATCACCTGAAATCATCTTAAAAGCAAGTAACAATTTAGCTTGACTAGGAAAAATAAATTGACCTTGAAACTTGTCATCCTGCACAACATAGATGAATCTAGAAGAAATAATTCTCAATGACATAAGTCAATCACAGAAGGATAATTATGGTAAAGTATTATTATGAAAGGCCAAGGAAGGGTTCACACACAGTCATCCTTGAATGGTTACCAGGGAAGGGAGGGAGAGGGGACTAAAAAATCAGTAAGAAGGGTGAAAGTTTATAGTGAATTAATAGGTCCCAAATAGAAAAATCGAGGGCCATGAGGTGATTTTGATTCAGTAACACGGCCTCCAAGCTGTAAATCTTTATGGAAGTATATTGCCACATTGTTCTCTTAGAGAACAGCTGGCAGGTTCAAACCCCTGACTTTCTGGTTTAACTGCAGAATACTTGAAACGTGTGTTGTGTCAAGAATTTATTGTTCAGCTCTGGTGGCCTAGTGGCAAGAAGCTGAACTGCAATCTCAGAGGTGCATGGTTCGAATCCACCAGATTCTCTGCTGGAGAAGGAGGAACAATCTCCTCCTGTACCAGTCAGATCTGATTTGATGGTACACACAAAAAATAATGAAATTAAAAAAATAAAAAAAAAAAAGAATTTATTGTTCAAAATGACATTCCTAGCCACTGACTTAGACACATACATGGGTGGTTGTTGTTATTAGGTACCCTCTGAGTAGTCGAGTATGACCCACAGCAACCCTATGAACAGATCTGAACCCTGTTCTAGCCTGTGCCGTTCTCACACTTACAAACTAGGGCCCAGCAGTCACCATATCAATTCTCTTGGCTGAGGGTCTCCTTCACTGACCATTATGCCTCTCTCCAAGGAACAGCCCCTCCTAGGAATATGTCTTAAGAATGTGAGGCAAAGCCTCATCATCTTTGCCTCCAAAGAGCACTCAAGCTGCACCCTCTCCAAGACATATTTGTTCTTTTGGCCATGCATGGGATATTTAGCGCTCCTCTCCAACACCTCAGCTCAAAGGCATCAATAATTCTTCTGTCATCCTTATTCACTGTCCAGATGTATTCACTGTCCTCAGATGTAAAGCAAGTGATCAGAAAGACCAGGGCCTGAATCAGATATACCTTAGTCCTCAAACTTACATCATTACTCTTTAATAATTTGGAGAAGTCCCTAACTGCAGACTTTCCAGTGCAATACATCTCCCGATTTCCAGATAGCTGGTAACAAGGGTGTTAATTGTGGATCCAAGTAAGATGAAGCTGTTGACAGTTTCAATCTTTTCCCCATCTGTCATGATGTTTCCTATTGATCCGGTGGTAAGAATCTTTGTTTTCTTTACATTGAGATGCAATCCATATTGAAGGCTGTATTCTTTGTTCTGCAGCAACTGCTTCAAGTCCTCCTCACTTTCAGCAAGCAAGGTTGTCATCTGCATTAACACAGGTGATGAGTCTCCCTCTGATCCTGATGCCACACACCTCTTCATAGAGTTCAGCTTCTCAAAGAATCTGCTCAGCAGTCAGACTGAATAGATACAGAGAAAGAATACAACTCTCACACGCTCCCTTCTTAATTTTAAATCATGTAGTGTTCCCTTGCTCTGTTCACAGAACAGCCTCTTGATCTAGGCATAGGTATCAGTACTGGAGACCACCAGCAGGCAGAGACGCGGAGCCTTGATGTAAGTGCTGAACTTGGGACTGGTACTTCATAGATGCAAAGCCAAGGCCTTCACCCAAGTTTGGGACTGGGTGAAGTCCCAGGATTGAGAGGGCAAGGGGAATGTCATAATTAGCAGAACTAAGGAGAGAACTGTAATAATGGCTTCAAATGATAAGTCTGGAGGGCCTGGAAGCATACTTCTTCAGAAGCTGTCTTGAGAAACTGTATCCTGTTGTAACCTGAGTTAACCTCAGTTGTAACTTAACTTTTCTAATGTTGTTGTTATGTGCCATCGAGTCGTTTCTGACTCATAGCGACCCTATGCACAACAGCTCTAAACCCTGCTCTGTCCTGCGCCAACCGCACCGCCTCTGACACACCCATCCCGATTACCCCAGTCACCGAATCAATCCATCTCATAGAGGGTCTTCCCCTCCTGCGCTGTCCCTCCACCCTCCCAAGCATGATGTCCCTCTCCAAGGACCCGTCCCTCCTGGCAACATGTCCAAAGTATGTCAGACGAAGCCCCAGAATCCTTGCCTCCAAGGAGCAGCTTGGTTTAATCCTCTCCAAGATGGAGCTGTTTGTTTTCCTGGCAGTCCAGGGTACATTCAGTACCCTTCTCCAGCACCACAGCTCAAAAGCATCCACTCTCCTGTCCTCCCTAGTCATTGTCCAACTCTCTGATGCATAACAAGCGATTGCAAATACCATGACCTGTATCAGGCGCACCTTAGTCTCCAGAGAGACACTGTTGCTCCTGAGTACGTTTGAGAGGTCCCTAACGGCAGACTTTCCCATCGCAATACGCTTTTTGATTTCCTGACTGCTGGTACCAAGAGTGTTAACTGTGGAGCCGAGCAAAGTGAAGATGTGAACACTCTCAATCTCTTCATCACCCATCCTGACGCTGCCAATTGGTCCAGTGGCGAGAATCTGTCTTCTTGACGTTGAGCCTTAGTCCATACTGAAGGCTGCAGTCCTTGACCCTTCGCAGCA